ATTTTTCTGTGTTTCTGTTTAAAGAATAAAATCAGAAAGGAGCAAATTTTATATTTTCATGAAATGTTCATCTTTATATACTCTATAAGGAGTGCTCACTTTAAATTTATTTTGTATTGTACCAACTTTGCTAACTGAAATTTTACTGATTAGAAAAGATCCATTCCCCTTTTCTTATACTAGTATAAAGTACATGAGCTGTACATGATACTGATCTATTTTTTAGAAAGGGACGCAATGTAGTCTTTTAGAAATATGGCTGTGAATATCGTGGGTTATCGTCTGAGCAAGCAAGTTTCGAGAGAGGCAAAAGAACTCTCTGCAAGTCGCGTAAGGAAAAAACGTGCTTTTTCAAACGATAATCAACGATATTCACAGCCATATTTCTCAAAAACTAAAAAGGGTCCTTTTCTAAAAAATAAATCAGCATCGTGTACAACGCGTGCACTTGAAACTAGTATAAAAAAGGGGAATGGATCTTCTTTAATTAGTGTAATTTTAGCTGGCAAAGTTGGCAGAATATGAAGTGGGTTTACACTGAGCACTCTTCATTGCATACATAAAAGATGAACATTTAATGAAAATATAGAATTCGTTCTTTTGTTTTTTTCTTTAAACAGAAAAGCAGAAAATCTAACGTATTCATTTTCTGCTATGTTTTCATGCAAAGTTGAGCCTCTTTATTTTGCGTTTATTTCTTCAAAGGTAATTAACCGCTCTCTTTGAAAGTATTATTCATCTATCAACCAGAGCCCGTCATGGATCTGCTGAGACTCGCATTTCAAAGACTCATCCAAGAGAAGTTTAGTAGCAGAAACAGATATTGCATTTATGATTAGCATTCGAAATAACATATAACCAAGTATGTTTTAAAATTTTAATCTGTTTTCTTCCGGACAGAGAGGGCACTAACTAGAGAATCTTCTTCAACATACTTGACAAAAACGACGAACCAAACATGTTTTCCCTAAAAAGAAGATAAAACTTAGAAATATAACATATTAGTCTCTCTCTTTCTCACATACCTACACCGGCGTTGCCTATTAACACAACTTTGAACAAATATTTATAATCTTCCATGATCGTAGTTCATTCTCATCTAAAATGTAGCAATAAAACGGTAGCTATACAATCTTGGTTCAGATATAGCTCATAAAAACAATAGCATATATACTCTTTAGCATCAAAAAATGTATTACCATAAAAGAAAACGAGGATACATGGAAAATAATCGATGAATGAGAACAAAACATTAGTGAAGCTTTTTTAAGCAGCTGAAAACGATCACCATTTGAAACATACAAGAGAAGGCTCAATAAAAACACAATTGAATAAACTTTTGAAAAATCCCGTGCAAAATATAATTCAAAGCGAAATATAGTTCTGTCGAGCAAAAAAAAGCTCATAGGACTAATTACATTCCATGAGAACAATTGGGTTCTATTCGAATTATATCGTAAACAACCTGAGCCATCGTTGGTCTATTTGTACAACTTTCATGATGTTCAAACTATTAACGTGAATGTGACTGTCTTATAAATAAACAGCATCAAATGAATGAATTTTCAAGACATGCTAAGCGGCTAAAATAAATAGCTGTCAAAATTACACATACGCGCGCACAGACTTTGTGATGCTGAGTTGGAGTGAATAGATTTTCACTTCGAATGGATACAAAGAGATTACAGCCTCTAGTAGGATACTGATCAAGTATTGCAAAAGACTAATTATTACGGAGAGTCAGTTAACAATCAAGGCTGAACTGAAACAGTATTAATTAGCAGCATCGTATGTTGTGTTATTGTATTAGAAATATTAATCACTAGGTCAGTAGCGGAGCCAGCCATCGTGCGATACATGTGACCGCACGTATCTTTTAAGCAAAATACCTATTTTTTCTCAGCAGATTTGTCACAGAATAATTCGTTTCTACGATGACTGCATCTGTTTCACACTTTCATAGTAAACCACACGTACTAAAGAAAACTTTTGGAGCCACCACTGCGCTAGGTTATTGGATGCTTTTATCATTCTATTATTGTTATTATTTGAATTACTAATATTATTATTACACTTTGACAGACTTTGTTTCCATAATTCCAAAAGTCCATCAACTGCAACATGATATATCTATAAACAGAAACACAATATTTTTTAAAGTATCTCAATAATATTCGTACACTTACAGCTATAATTTGATTTTGAACACACAATGTTTCGTTCCTTTCATGGTTTAAATATAGAAACATATTTGTTGCAATAAATCTAAGGTGACGAATATATGTCACATAAAATAAATGTTCATCTTTAATAAACTGATTCCTATGTACATTTTTATTCCTATGTACTAAATTCCAATCAAATCTTTTAATCGACAATGTTTAGCGTTTAATAAATAAATGAACAGTGATGTGGAGTACATTCTATGTAAGAAACCTTTGTTTCAAAAGAAGTTTGTTGACTGTTTTTAAGCATATACATTTTTATATAAGACAAGAATATATTCTGTGCACCATTATAAAGACTTAACGGCATACGAAGGATTTGAATAACTTTCATCAATAAATAATGAATCGTCTGATTTTACCTTTATCTGATGAAACAACATTCATTTGACCATCAATATTAAAAAATCCAAGGCTTTTTCAACGATCATTCGGTGTACTTTTTAGTCATTAAAATCATCTTGATCAAATTTATGACTAACTACATCGTCATCATCCTCAATATATTGAGACAAATTCTTTTTCTACTTATTATGACGGTTTCTAATGTTCTAGGTTTCTAATATATCGTGTAATCGGTAGTACACACAAAAAACATTATAACAAGTAAATCTTTTCTGCTTCTCTCACTACTTAAAATTTTATCTATAATCAATCCTTCAAGGAAAGACATAAACACGAAGTCGTACTCCTCTTCTATTGATGATAAAGAGAAAAATCGCAGATCACATTAAATCTGAATCATTCGCACTGTTGTTTATTACCTCTATGTTAAACATTACAATAAAAATAAAGACTCTGTTAAAAAAATAAGTTAAAAATAACAAGAATTCTTTACAAGAATATCTTTACTTGTATCTGACACAGTCCCACTATCCGTTTTCACTTTTTAGAAGTAAACCTAATAATAATCGCACTTTCTCATAGGTAATAAATAACGCACCGGTAGCAAAAAACGTTCGAATCAATGTCGGCATTAAACCAGAATAAAGTGTTACAAGACCTAAAATGATAAAAATAAATTAAAAACCGTAAATGAACATAAATGCTATTTTATCTACCTTCATTACGAATAATTGTCAACGTATAATTTAAAAAACTCTTATTTGTTGTAAAAACTTGTTGTCGCGATTTAATGACATCACATGGATACATAATTATCCAAAAGGTTATGCCAGCCATACCTCCAGAAATCCATATTTTTACAAAACCTATAACAATTTGTATTTTGAGTATATAGTAAAGCTGATACAATATCAAATAAGAATTATTACCTATATCCGTCTTTCTTCCATCCTTACTCATCAACAGACTTCGAGTTAGTTCATATCCACCAAAAAAAAAAAAATAGCCAGGCACTTCACGAATCCATGTAGATGTTAAACCACGAAATAAACCACGTATTCCTTCTGTTCGTAAAATTTGTGCAGTCATTGCAAACGGTGTACTAAAATTAAAACAACAATCTTTTTTAGAAAAAACAACAAAATTAACGGTATAAATGTGCAAATGAAAATTCGTCAAAACTCTTTTATTTTTTTTGGAAAACTTAAGAGATTCTGTTAACACAAAATCAAACTGTTTTTATTTCAAACCCTGCCATTAGTTTTTTAAAATGTAGAACACATTAACTGAATATTAAAATTACTTAATTTCAGAATTCTCACTTTTTACGATACAGTAGTATTAACTATGCATGCCGTTAAGTCAAAATGATCGAAGTATGAAAAATAAGATTTGTCAGAAAACTTTTTTTACTGGATTAATGTTGAACGAGATGCAAAAATTTTATTTTAAACGTCTTTTTATCTACATTGGTTTATTGTTGTTTGTTTTTTCTGATAAAGATTGCGATTGAGAGATGAATGATTGATGTGGTGTAATCTTGGCTGTTCCTAATTCAGACAGACACTGCATTCGGCATTTAATCAGTTCTGCTGGGCATAAAGCCATAGAAGAAAATATAGCTGCTTGGCCTCCGGCACAGGCGTTTTCAATTGATGTTAATTGTTCAGTATCGTTTTTAGATCGTATTTTACACATAAAATTTTGACACACACCATAGGACATAAAAAGAATGCCATTTTCTAAAATCCATGTATTATCATGCACATCAAATTCATATTCATACAAATTTCATACTTAGAAAATAACGATATCGGGTGTAAATAATTAACTAGCCCGATTGATAACATACCTGCTGCATTCGCTGCTAGAGCCGGTACGGTTCCTTTGTATAAGCCCGTTAATCCTTCACTGGTATAAATTTTCTTAAAACAATCCAGCGAATTTTTATAGACTTTTGGAAATATTTGTAATTTCACTTTAATCGTATCCAACGGTTGTCCGACATAAACGGATGCTGCTGCACCTAGATAGAATAAAAAAAAAACTTAAGAATATATTTTGAATAATGAAACTCCCACTGGTCAACAGCAAATGTGCATCTTGAAAAAACTAAATCACCTCAAACGTCATTTCTAGTCGTTTTTTGAATTTGATATATTTGGATTCCCCATCAAAAACTGAGTCTAATCGTGTATCTTCGAGTCACAAAAAACAAAATACCTGTGTTCCACAATTTTGACAAGAGTAAGCATTCCAAAAAATGAGC